GACGGGGCCATGGGGCTGCCCTGGCGGTGGGCGCTGCTGCTCCTGCTGTGGCTGGAGGGAGGCGGCGGCTTGTGGAGGTGGAAGGAGGAAGCCAGGGCGAAGGGAGGCGGGGGGTGCTGGGCTCGGCCTTGGGAGCTGGCGGCCCCAGGGCCTTTTGCTTCCCCCCCGCCTCCTCCGTTTCTCCTTTTTCCCCCTTGTTCCTGTCCTCTGCAGGCCACATCCCAAGGCCTGGGCTGCAGGGGTACCTGGGCAGCAGCCCTGGCCGTGCCAGCAACGGCATTGGGTGCCTCCTGCCTTGCTTAGTCCATTTAGCCGTGACCCTTATACCAGACCTGCCAACGCACACACATATAAGCATATATGCCTATTTATATATATGCATGTTTTATTTGTGCATATGGCTAGCGCATCTGGCTTCATGATGAGGGTGAAAGTCAATGTTTGTGGAGCCAGGGGGCTAAATAGGAGAGACTGCTTTCTCCAGAGACAATACAACATTGTCCCCAGCTTATTCATGAGGGGAAGGAAAGAAAGAAAGAAAAAAAAGCAAACAACAACGACAACAAAAACATAGCAGAGAAATGCATGCATTTGGGAGGTTCGGAAGTGGAACTGAGGTCTCACTGGCTGTTCCTTTAGCTTCTTGCCTCTCCCTTCACAGAATCGACACGCCTAGGGGATTTATTTTATTTTTTTTTTAGATTAAGTCATCTATTTAAATGACAAATCTGAACGATATAATTGTTGCTAAGACAAGGTTCATAAACCTTGAATCACACAGCAGTCACTGATGCTCAACAGCGATCTGGCAGATTAGGAAGTTTTTAGTTTTTGATTTTTTAGTTGCATCTTGGCACCTTCAGGTTTGCTCTTATCAGGAATTTGAGGATCTATAAGAGCTGTGGGAGAAAAGTTTGACTGTGTCTTGTAAAGCTAGAGATATATAACAGAATATAAAATATTAAGTCAACAGAGAAATATTTTTTTAATGAATAACTGAAACTGTCTTCCTGAAGTTTAGTGCGAAGAAGTGCTGTGGTTAATACAAACTGTTGAGCAATTACGCACAACCTGTGAGGCAACAGTGAATATGCATTCTGAAGAGGAGGCAGTCCATTAGATACCCAGTGTAGCCCGTAGTGTTAATATATTTGGGTGCTTGTGCTAAAGAAGACAGCCACAGTTTCCTTATTACCTGGGCAGGCCTTGTGGGAAGTCTCCAAAATAGAGAGAGCTTCTGAAGCACATTTCTCCATATTTACTGACACAGGGGCAAGCTTTATTTTACTAAACTTAGTATAGTAAAGTTGCCTGGAAATGTGAAATTTAGGCCTTACAAGATTCCATGTTTCCTCACATAATAGCCTTGATTTATTTCTTAGAATATGGTTTCGTAGTATGGCTGAGTTAGCACCTCAGTATTGCCAAAAAAAGATTCCTTCCTACTGCTACTGCAAGCTGCAGGATTTGCTTCCTCCCTTGCAAAAGGCAGTTGCAGTTACCTGACTGCAAGATAAATGAAATAAATTTGCCGATCTTACAAAGAAAAGAAACATACTATTTTTGCATAGTTATTTTTGCTATTTTAGTGAATTCATTTACCCTGTGACCAGGTGGTTCCGCTAAGTAGCTAAAGATACGTGCTGCAAGCATGCAGCTCAGCGCAATAGGAGGTAGAATTTGGAAGGCAAGAGCAGGATCTTTGTTTTGTAGTTGCGATTTTGTTCATCCTGTGCCGGGAAACTGTTCTTTAGCTTAAAAGTGATTGTGCAGACCTCTTCTGAAACACAGTTTCATTTGACTGTTACTTTCTTTGTGTCCTGTCATGTGCTGCTGCATTCTCTGCACTCTTAAACAGTCTACAACTCACTTAAAGTTTAGCTGCATAGCTTGGCTTATTCACTGTTAGCGAAATCAAAGAATGTTTTCACTACTTGGTATACAGATATGATGTATATTATAATATATATGAGTATATTGTGTATATAATACATATAGATGTGGGTATTATAATACATATATGTTTACATATATGTATGTATATTTTAAATTCAAAATAACTGAAAGTTATTTGAAGTTAACTTATTTGATCTTAAGTTTCACACAGCTAGTCCCTTGCATCTCAAAATAAAAGTGAGATTATTATAGCCTGTCAGGCCTATATTCTAGCTATGTGATGTTAGTTAAATGCTGTTTTTCAAAGAGATTTCAGACATGCAGTTTCATTGTTCTGCTGTTTAGATTTGGAATAGAAGAGTTCTGGAATTTATGTTTCACTATGTTTACTTGGTAGGTACACAACTACTGAAGAAAACTACAAACTCTTCACTTCCAGAACAACTGTAAGTATTTAATGGAGATCATGCTAGTTAAAACTAGTTAATGCTGCTAGGATTGGAATTTTTTTTCGTATATGGTGCTCTGGGTCTTTTCTTCCCCCTTCTTTCCTTTTCTTTGTAAATTAAGGACATGGTAGCTTTCCTTTTCATACTTTAAAAGATACAAAATGATCTTTATTGATATGGTTCACTAATTACATATACAGTATAGTTATAAAAATGTTAGCTCTTGACCAAGGTAAAAAAGCAATTGGTATCTAATGCTCAGTGTGGTATCTCATGCTCAGTGTCAAAAACATAAGACATTAGAATAAGACTGCTGAAAAGCCCAGTTGCACTTTTTTTTTTTTTTTGTAAGCTAGAGAACCAGCAAGTTCATGTAGTTTTACAGTAGTGGGTTCTTTTTGCTCCAACTTGTAGGGAAGCAATTCACTTTTTTGCTCTTCATGTTTTTGCTGGGTGTGCATGTTGAGTCTGTCCCCTGAGCTATCAGGAACTGACAAGAGTCTATGTTCAAGGAATGAACAAATATGTCTACCATTTTTGGCATTAGCAAGCTGATAGATGGAATTGGCTTTGCAAAGCTAAGCCCTTAGCAGGAGTGTAAAATGATAAAGTTTAGACTGTATTGTCTTCTGAATTGTTCTCTGTTACTGATAGGAGGTGAATAACAGAAGCAATTATATTTATCACATATTTGACTTGAATTTGGGTACATTCAGGCTTTTCTGCCTCCCAGTAAATTGCAAGAGACTCAGACAGGAGCTTTTAATAGACAACAGAAGCAGTGTGACATAATTCTCGCATTTCGATCAAGTGAGCTGAGGAGATATGTAAAATTGTTACATCTGTGTGTTTCCAATTACTCTGCTGAAAGAGTCCACATATTATGATTATATATTTTTAAAAACGAGACACATAAATTGGTCTACATTGTTTAGAACAGGTTTTTCTTTTTGTAGGAACCTCAGTAGTTTAGAAAATCAAGCATAAGCATGAAAGAACGAAAAATGTTCTAACAAAGGCAAGAATGTCAACTGGACTACTAACTAATGCCCAGCATGGCTGGCTGGACATGCAGTGTTAATTAATCCTCCTTACAAGAATATTTCTTACTGAAAGTTAAGGGCAACTTTTAATACTTCTCTGGGACTATTTTCCTATTGCGAGCAACTTCTGAATTCCCTTCAGGAGAAGTACTAATTGAAGAAAAAAACAGCTCTTGACAATTAAAATGTCAGGACAAATAGTCCAAGGAACAGGTTCTCTATTAACAATGATTCTGTCTATGAAAATGATATATCCATATATTTTACACTATGCAAGCCTTATCTACTTTTAAAAAAGTGATTGCAAAAATGTGGTTTGTGAAATCATAGTTAGCTAGTCTGAAGTACCCTACAGATCTGCATCGAAAATGAAAATGTTGAAATTATTGAGTATTTTGATGAAAATAATGTGAGAAAGAAGTGAACTAATTTTACTTCTTGATGATTTACAGCATTTATAAGCATTTTCCTGCTTTAAACTTGATGCTAAGATGTTTAGTAGTTCGTAAGAAACTTCAGGTGTGGACAATGGTCCATGATCCAAAAACATTTAAGAATCACTGTGCTGGACAAGGCTGGAGTCTTTAGCAATTCATACTCTGTCTGCAGGTTACCCTGGAGGAAGTGAGCTCTTATAAGGAATCATGGAGAAGCTTTCAGAGCTCCTGAACCTTCAGAGTACAGAGAGGTTTCATTAGATCTAGTCTGTCTCTCAGAGAATGCAAAAGACAGTGTTCCTTCAATTATAAACAAAAATACAATATGCAAGAAGATGCTTTTAAAAAAAATCTGTGATAAGTCTGAGGAAAAGAAGTGCATTACAGAATGCAATATGTTTTATATCTTTGAGTGTTACGGTGCAAAAGAAGTGATTTTCCCTTAAAATTGTATTTACAGTGCATCAGTGCTCGTTCGAGTGCTATCACAAGAGCAACTGATTGTCTGAGATGATGTTGCCATGATATTCTGCACGTTTGCAAGGCTTTATTTGTATGTCAGGTTCCTTGGGGAAGAGAGCATTTCTAGTGTGTTTTGTTTAGTACACATTTATTTTGTTTTTTGTCAGTGTAGTACTTCGTCTTTTCACATGGTGGAAGAAATGAAGTTCCTGATGGGTTTCCAGAAAGATAGGTATTAGTTTGCATTCTAAGGAGTTGTTTGCTAAAGTCCAATGATGTCTCTTTAAACAAATTGTTCTTCGTTAAGCAGCATCATTTATATCGTCTGAAAAGCTTTTCTGCTAGTATTATAGGATACATATTTGAACATTGTGTTTAATGTATTTGATCCGCTTCCTGCAGTTATTACTGTTTTTAAGTTAGTTATTTCAGTTAAACTTTTCCTTAACTATTTCTGTTAGATTTAAATACATTCATATTTTTAAAATAATAATAATAAAAAGGATTAAGAATCCTATAATTTAAAAGTAATGCTTGTACATGTTGTCACAGTTGATACATTTGTACATACTAGCATGTGTTCTCAACTTTTTGGTTAGGTGTATTTAGAATACGAAGGAACTTCATTTATTGTGTGGGAATATCCTGACGTATGTTCTGCTAAAAATAAAAGGTAAGAGTTTCCCAAATGAAAAACATCAAAAGTAAGATTTTGAATTCAGTGAGTGTGTAATTAAGATAATACACAACACTATGTAAGTTCAAGTAAGATAGCAGCTGTCAGGACTTGAGATACACCAGGAAAATAAATATTGTCTTTTGTTCTTTGAAAAGTTGGAAAGCCAAAACTGAAGCAGTCGGAAATTAGATTTTTAAATTATGATTTACAAAGATGATTCAGCTATATAATACTACTAAAGAAAAAAGAGTAAAGAGAGAGTGACAGAACACGGGATCAGGCTACCTGTAGAGGAGGTAGAGTCTGCTGCTTTAAAACTCTTCAAAACCCACCTGGATGGCACTCTATGTTGCAACATGTTGCTGCTTGAGCAGGGGGGTTGGACTAGATGATCTCTAGAGGTCCCTTCCAACCTCAACCATTCTGTGACATGATGTGATGTGACATGAGTTCCTCAAATTTGCGGAAATTCTTCCCTAAAAGAATGACAAATGAATTAATGAGTTTTCTGACGATTTTTCTGTATGTATTATTTCAAATATAAATATTTATTCATCTCAAATTTCCTGTTTAACTTTTTATATATGTCACAAATTCACTTTAATTACAGTGTTTCTTCTAAATTTCATTGCTTACTGTGGTCCAGACAGCAGCTTGCCCTCAAAGGTGTGTGTAAATGAATTCGTGTTTCTGAGGCTTACAATGTGTAAAGTGTGTACAAAGAGTGCCTTTGACAGAATCTGCAATTGAAAGTCTAATAGTATGTGTGAGTGATAGAAATTATGGATGACTAATGTTTTTGCAAGTTTTTATCTCTCTGGGCAGGGCAAATACAGAGATATGTAGGGGAAGCCTCCCAAAACAGTGAATGTATGGATCCTTTTTGTTGTTTTTGTTCATTAAAATAAGAAGACAAATATTGTACAGTATTTCACTGAGAAAGGCTGAAAACTGCTCTCTTTATTTTCCTAGGGCTGTTTTTATCAGAATATATCCTGGAATCAGTATAGGCTAGAGTAAAGATTTATGTGTTTGTTACATCTGTTTAAGCTATAACACCTGAGGCTTAATCAGTTAGGTCTTCCTTTCTTTTATCTGATGATTTGGGACAGAATGGAAGAAAAATATTCCAGTGATCAGGATGAAGTGTGAACTTAAAGAGAGGCAAGCAGGATAAGCAGGCAGTCTGGAGTGATCACACACTTTAAAAACTTGGGGACTTCAAAACTTCCCTGGCAGCTGAATGTTATTAGGGAGCTTGTTTATACAGCTGTTGAAAGAGAGTAGTCTCCTAGTTCTCACTTTCCCTGAAATGTCCGTTTGATACGCTACAATAGCTGGGTTGTCTCACATATGTGCAAGGAGAAACAAGCCAAAAGCTTAATGAATATTTTATATGCTTCTTGTTTCAAGTTTCTCTCTCTCTTTTTTTTTTTTTTTCAATTTTTTAATTGGTCCAGTGTGCTTATAAATAATGCTCTGAAATGATAATCTTTCGGTCTTAGAGATGTAGATTGTCCATCAGCCTAGTACTGAACTGATAGATTGCATTCTCTGTTTATGTTTAATAGAAGTTTGGAGTCTTTTCTTGCACAGAGTCTTCAAAAGGATGCTAAGTTCTTAAATTTTCAAAATTTAGTCTAACTAGATCTCTCAGATGCCTTTGTCTGATGTTAATTAGTCTTAAAATTTTGTGTCACATATAATGTTTATTTTTAAAATAACTTTAGCTCACCAAAAACAACACTGAATTGTCCGACTCCTGGGACTTACAGAATTAAACCAAAAGTAACAATTGAGGTAAGCTGTGAACATAAATTGTGAGAAAATTAATCGTGGTCTGATCATTGATTGTTGAGCAGGTATCTGCCACAGTATCCATAGCCTGTTGCATAATGGAGCTCCAAAATTAAATATATTAATTACAAAATAACCTATATCTTTATCTGTAAAGGTTGTGATGAAAAACTTTCAAATAAGAACGGAGTTGGACTAGTGTATTAATGATCGTTTCCTTGCAGGCTGAATCAATGAACTCTGGGGTTCCTGGTAGCTTCCATTTTCCATTGAAATGTTATATGTTTTATATAACCTGTCCCTTTAACATCCAGTCAGTCTGCAGACAGGTGCTTCCTGCTTCTTCTCTGATAATAAAAAGCAGCTGTTTCCCAGCTAGCTGCAAAAAGACACCTTTTTAAATAATAGTTTTTCTAACCACTATTGAGTATTCTAGTAAAAATTCTGTAGCATGAAAAAATTAGAAAAAAAAATGTGATGATGTTGAATGATTTTTCTCAAATTAAATGGGAGGTGAGAAACCGTACTGCAGATGCTTTCATTTTCCTACTAAGTTCAGCAGAACTCTTGATTCTTAAATGCATTTGTAATAAAACTAGTGTTTCCTGTCTCTTATATTGTAATGGAAAAGTTATGTGGATAGTGCCACAATTACCTTTATGCTTACCACAAAATTCTTAGGATATGACTAGTTAATATTTTTCCAGTGTTTTTAAAGAGGGTATGTTGTAGAGAGGGTATGTCAGTATGCTGGGAGATTGAAACTGAAGGTGCTCGTGTAGAATCCTGGAGAGAAGAAAAGAGATGGACAAAAATTGACATAATCTCTTTGTTGAATAAATGCCCAGAAAGAAGCATGGTATCTTTTTAAGGGATTAAGGAAGTTTGCAATATGCTATTTAATCTCTGTTCATCAGATAAGGCTGTTATAAAGAAGTGAATGATAGTGGAACTATGTCCCCTTATATACCTACATTTAAGGTGGCTCAGAAACGTAAATAGGTTGCACATATACAGTGCATAGTAGTGAGAAGTGATCTAATATACAGACATTTTTAAAAAATCATGCGAGAAATCTCTCTTACTTATATGCTTTCTGAGGTAGAATTGCTGCAAATTATCTCATGAACACCATAGCTGGTTTTTGACTAGTCATTTGTATCCTTTAACTCTTTCTTTTCCTTATGACCTTTTCCTAATACCAAACCTCTGTTCCTTCTCATGTGTTTCACCTCAGACTTTTCATCTAAATGATCCTAAGTCTTATCCATGTGTCTCCTCTTTCTTTATGTCCATTTCCCCCAATATCTCTTGAGCCATTTCAGAACAGATTCTGTTGCTCATATTTTGAACTACTAGATGAACAAGTAGTAGTAAATGCTGTGATGAATCTTAACCTGCGTATTGCATCGTAACCTACATATGCAATGATTAGCCAAGACTTCCCAGAGCTTCTGTGTCCAAGCATGTGTGTATGTCTGTTAATAGTCTCACTGTATTCAGTTAGACTAGTCATAAATCAAAATGTTTTTTTTTCTGTAAGTAATAAAGCATTATATAAATGCATATATAGAAAATAGAAAAATATAAACCAGAGGTGTTAGGAGAACTATATTTATATTTATATATACTACTATATGTAGTAAAACATGTTTCTATCATCTAGACATTTGAGGATAAAGAACGGTATTTCCCTGCTTCTGACCATTCTAATTGTTTCATGTGGTATGTGACAATAGCTTCTGAACCAAACAGGTAATGCTTTTTCTTTGTGAACATTTTTGGTAATATATAATTGAATCACAATATTTTCTATTGGGGTAATATTGTTAATGGTCTGTCTGAAGAGATGAAAAACCTGTCAGTGTAGTAGTAATCAATTTTAGCTCATGTTAGGTGTTATATATAGATATATAAACTAGTGTTATGTGTGTCTTTGCCTGAAAATTGAAAATTTTACATTTTATTTGAGCTGCGATTAAAACTGTGTCTACAGTATAATTTCCAATCCTCATCTGCAGTTTCTTTTTCCTCTTAAACTGCTGGGTAAATTCTTGGCCTCTTTTTGAAGGCAACGGATTTTTCTATCATTGATTTTGTTGGAACTAAGCTTCTGTCTGAGAGGTTGAATGTGGTTCGATTTCATGCAGTCCTAATACTAGTGTTTTTCTGGCATCCAAGACACAGCAGTTGCCCTGCCTCTGCCTCTCAAGTCACCTTAGGAATTTGCCTGTTCCAGCTGCAGCAAGAGTGCAACAGACTCGGGCCCTAATGCTGATACAAGCAGCTCTTTGCCCCTGGTCATGCAGTTACAGAGGGACCTGTCCCTCATCAGTGTTGGTCAGAGGGGATGTTGCCCTGTTATAGGGTGCAATATAGTCTCCTTAGTGAGGTTTGGTACAGCAAGTATCCTTTCTTGCAATCTGATTTTATTGTAATCTGATAATTTCAAATAAGCTGAAACTTAACAGAAGAACATATTTCTTTAAGGAATCCATATTTTTACAACACAGAAAAGCTACATTTAAAAAAAAACGGGACATGCATAAAGTATGTTTTAAACAACAATCTTCAGCAAATATGGATGTCTCCTTTTATCTATTGAGATATTTATGCAATGGAACAGTCAAAGCAATATTAAGCACATTATATTACAACCTGTTCTATACACTATATATATATAGTCATAAAACAAGATTAATTTAAATTGTGTAAAATAATTTTAGTAGATAAAAACATTTTAATGATAATTTAAAGTAAATTGTAATTTATTTTCTTTATGTAGAATAGATCCGCTCTTAGGAAATGGAAGCCAGGTAAATTTAAGTTTGACTGTATCATTTCACTGTATATTTTAATCTAGGCATCCTCCAAATCTTTTCTCACTTTAATGAAATACAATTTTGGCATGAATTCAGGCTGATTAAGGGGAGACTTTGGCCAGCCTCTTACTACTGATGTCTTTGAATTTGTGTATTTGCTTGAGATTCTTTAAATGTGTTTTGTATAATGAATTCAATGAAATATTCCACTGGTAAACTACTATGACCTATAATCTTGTTTATAAAGCCTGTTATTTCACAACACCTGCAAAATTTAATATAAACAGGTTGTAATGTAGATGATTTCCTACCTCATCCTCTTTTTGTTGGACTGTGAGAGAGACTGTGATCATATGGGAAAATAAGGAAACTTTCAAGAAAGGGTCATTATTTCCAAATTGAAGTCAGGGAGCTACTGCCTATATAGTGTGTAGCCTACTGAAAGTACAACCTGGCTGAATTCCACAGCTGTGGAAGCGAGCTTATATTCTCTCTGTGGAAGTTCTGCTTAGCTACCTTGGAGAGATCAGCTATAAGATTACTTAGTTTGCCCTGTTTTTAGGACAGCATGCAAGATTTAGCATTTTGCTTTGAGTAGATGAGTAAGAAACCGCGTGATATGAACTTTCAGCACGCGAGCTGCTTTGTGATACGCCAGACTGTAGCACCTTGTGATAAATGTGGTGAACGTGCTCACAGAATGATGATTCTCTTTGCGTGTGCCATGAGATGGAAATGCCATGTATTTGCATTTCCTAACTGAAAGAAGATTATAGACAGCTGTTTGGCAGTAATGGAAGCATACCTGATGCACATTTTACTAAAAGCTTTATAACACTCCCTGAACAAGAAACAAGATCTGGTTGTGTTTTTTTAACAGGGGATAATCTCTCTATATCCTTCATCCTGTGCTATGGCAGCACTGGCTGTATATAACTGCATTGCCCGGGTGGATGGAGAGGCACTGAAGAAAGGAAGGCTTCTCAGGGAAGAGAGAAGGCATTAGAGGGGAAAGAAAACTTTTGCATGAACTTTTACTCATTTCCTCTTTATTTCTGAGAAAGGAGGTGCTGCTTCCCTCAAATTTTTGTTGCCTGTTGTTAACAACAGGAAGCAAAGTTAAAAGATTAGCTTACAGCGTAGGCGTTGCCTAGTTTAACACAATTATTACGTTATCTTATGTGTTGTCAAGAAGAACTGTTATCATGGTTACAGAATATTAATATTTGTTAGTAAAATATTAGCTTGCGTCTCTCTCTCCTTTTTTTTTTCCCCTTTTTTTGAATTTTTTTTTTACTTGTTAGGAGTTAATTTTATGGGTATATGATCCCGAAACTGCAGATGCTTCTGAACTGAACCGCACAGCAATTAGACCTTCACAAGTAAGTTGAAATGATGCCACTTAAGAAAAACAAGTTAAAATGCATGTCTCATGAAAATTTGCCAGCCAAAAGTAGAAATGTCTTATTGAAATGTACTGCTTGTACATGTCCTTACTTATTTCACTGTATTGAGGAAAATAAATTTGCAGGATTTTCTCCCCTGTTAATACTGCAGCAGTAATGCAGGTATAAAGAGTGAGGTGAAATCTATTGTCTGATTCGTAGATATAGAATGATTAGCAGGCTGGAGTAATTTAGTCAAATTTTAGTCTTTGCAAAAGTTATATTCAAAATTAGTAACTGGTAATAATATGCAAAAATCGACCACAAATCTTTTTTATAAATTTCCTCGGGCATCTGCAAAGCAAACTATTAGAAGAAAAATGTGGAAGTCCTGATATATGGGGCTGTATAAACAAGGATGATAAAGCATTGATTTAACTAAGACTTAAAAAATTTAACAACCCACTGTACAAACTCCTCTGCACAGCTAGAATTTGGGAATGAAGGTGGACCATTCATGGAATTATAGATTAGTTGTAGGGATTAATGTGCACAATGAATTTTGTCAGGAGTGAGTTTCTGATCTGGATGAGTGACAAAGAATTTTCTTTGGTATGGTGCCTGACATAAGGTATGCATGCATGGCACCACTATTTATTATGGCAATTACTTTCTATTCTGTCATTATTGTATCTTTTTCCCATTTTTTTAATAATTGACATGGTTAAGAAGAAAAGAAAAAAGTAGCAATATTAACTGCATTACTAGGGCATTTTTATTAGCTTACTAGATGTCAGGCAAGTGTTTCTGCTTTCTGTCTGTCGGTATGGAAAGAATGCAAGGAAAATTGAAATTGGCTCTGAATGCAGTATATTCTAAAATAAATAGATTGCATAAGGATGATTCTAATGGTATGTCATTGCTTGAAAACACACTTTGTAATATTAAATTTCTTCCTAATGTCAGAAATCTGACACAAATTTAATCTCAGAGTTTCTCAGTAATAACTGAATCTATTTTAGATCTGTTAGTCATTGATCCAATGCCAGAATCAGAAATGACCAGAGAGCAACCAGTTGAGTGAAAAATATGTGATAAATAATAACTTTTATTTTATTTAAACAGAGTTCTCAGAAACTCAGCAAGCTGTTCTGGAATTTGGGACAGGAACCTGTTGTTCATACCCATTTGAGAAAGAACGAATACTATTCTCGGCAGCATCCAAATTTAGGGTATAGTAACTTATTTATTTCAACGTAATTCTATTTAAAATTATGTTACAGTCATGACTATACAGACAATTATTGGTAAGTAGATGTAGAAATAGCACTTAATAAAATAGATGATTTTTTATGTCTGTAATTTTAATTTTTTAATTACAGTGTAGTGAGCAATATTTGAAAGATATTAGGAAACCTATTAATTTAGCTATAAGTAAGGGTTATATAACACAGACACAGAGACAACTTAAGAAAGAAGGACGTAGTGCATAAAGATCTTCAAGGTTACTTTCTAATAATTTTGTAGCACAGAAGGGGTAGAATAATTGCAGAAAGACAGATGCTTCCAAGTCTTCAAATTGGTAGAATCATTTCTGTGTATTTCAAGCATGCTAGGGAAAAGCTGGGCCTCTACAAGATGTAGTCTTTTCTATTTGTATGGTTGCACAGCACTTCTGTTGGTTGATAACAAATCAGAAACAACTGCCAAATTTAAGGCAACTTTTAAATAAACTTGTGCTTAGCAAGCACAAGGAGACCAATATGTCCTTTTAGAGCTTGTGCATGAGATCAAATGCCTCAAAATTATTTTTGAAAGTTCTCTTGGTGTCCTCATATGGCTGACTGTATGAGGGAGACCACCTGAAAAGGGTCTCCTTTTTCGGCATCAGAATAACTTGTTCTTCAGTAATAATTTGTGCCTTTGTTGGGGGGGGGGGCAGTTGTTATTTAGTTGGTTGTTCTTTATTTCTTCCTCCTAGAGGAAAGAGCTTGTCATCTGCTAGACAGGTTTTATCTGCCATTTGTTCCTTTCATCATAGTACTTAAAACTAAGTAACTGCTCTTGGGAAGACTGACTTTGTTATTTTATAAAGCTAAATCTCTGTGAGTGATTTTTTAGCTCATGGAATAAGGACTCAAGACTTCAAGTCTTGCTTGTTAAGTTGTAAGCACCAGCTCAAAGCTTAACATACCCCTGTTCAGGCACGATACTTCTGGAAGTTAAAAACCTGTGTAAGGTATTGACAAGCACATCACCCTCATTTAGAAAAAAAGTCTTGGCCATTTACACTTCACATACTCTTCATCAGCCTTCTCTAGACTTCTAAGTGGAGTTGTGACTTTTTTTCCTGTTATGCAATGATATTCCATGCTTAATTTCAAAAAGAAGTAAGATCACTCAGGTGAACTATCAGATTCAGTTAAGCTGTTTCCAGGATCTCTGCCAGCTTGCTCAGGATTGAGTTCATTCATTGTGTGAAACACCACATACTAGAAGTTTTTTCTCACCTTGTTGGTGAAGGGTTTGTCCTTTTCTGTCAGCCTTCCAGGAATGATTAGCTAAAAGTGTAGCCCTGAGTGGTAGTGGAGCAATGGCAGTGGAACTATGGTTCTAAATCTATGTGATAAAAATTATATCCAATGTATTAATCTTTCTTTTAATGCTTGCTTAATCTCAGTCATGCTCTGATTTGGAGGATTTGTGTTCTGTGAGAGAAATAGAAAAGCAAGGAAGTATGAGGAGAAAGAGTAGGAAACCTCAGTGCCTCCTTTTACTACAGCTTTCCCCCCTGACTGACATTCATAGGCCCTTTTCTTAAGAACATGGTACAGGATTTCAAAGCATGAATGAATTTCTTTTCATGAACAGCTATGTTCATTTTCTAAACAATAAAGGCATTATGTTAAGTTTTTGGTGGTCTGGAAAGTCACAAAAGGCAGTTATATATAAGGCAATTATAGGCACACAAACCTGACACTTGAAGAACTTCTTGAGACAATGCCATCCTATTTCAGTTCCTAACCTTTTTATAGTGACCTTTCTATAGTGCTGGAGCCCATAGAGAAATACTTATGCACTGATTTTTCTAGTATTTTGGGACAACAAGCATTAGTTCTGATATAAGGACTCTCGCATTGTCTGTTTTTGTACTCTTATCACTGCTTACTACATTTTATGGCAATACTTCATCTTCTTTCTAAGAATATTTGCTACACACAGTGCTTTGCAATGAAAGAGAGAACACAACAAGCCAGTGGGGCATAAATTCACAATTCTTATTTGATTGTGAGTTGATCAGAAAATAGTTTTAATGGTTAAATAAGTGATGTGCATATGAGGAGGTATATATATATATAGCAAACAAATTTGTCACAGATTTTGTATCTCTAAGAATAAAATTTTATGCTGCATAAGCATTTTGTGAAGCTAATTCAAATACAGGAGAGCTAAATTTTGGCACAGAGATACTGAGAATGAGGTTTATGTTTTATGAGTTTTTACTGTGTATGTTTCTTGCAACATATTTATCATCTGTCTTTTCAATACCTACCCTTCATACATTTTCTGAATACCCGATTAAAACAAGTTACACTGCTATTTTGTGACTTTTCTTTCTTTTCTAAGTTCACTCGTAGTCTGTAATTAATGCTATTTGTGCTTTTGCAAGAAACGATTATGACTTTTAACATGAGCAATAGCTGCTTTGGTTTGTGCTCCATCAGTTGTGTGTTTCTCCTTGATCGCTAGATGGCAACATAGCAACAGCTCTTATCAAAAGTTGCTGGACTCAGAGTAGCTTTTTCTCTCACATTTTTTCCAGAAAGCTAGAATAATCGTCCTCTTCCCCAAGAAAAGAGAATATATACATTCTGGCAGGGTCAGTAAACCAGTCATGTGAGTGCTGGCACAACGTGTTTTTTTTTTTTTTTTTTTTTTTAAATCTCATTAGCCATCATCTCTTTTTTCTTTAAATAGAGAAGAAAGCCTATTGATTAATTTGAATTTTCTCATACGTACACCTGGCTGTTTTGTCATCATCTTCAGAGTGGACTTGCCTTTGGTACCTCATCGGTACCTAATCCTTTGTATTTCATCAGCTAGTTTTTTTATGCCATCTGAAATTAGGGAATTAACTTTGGAATGCTGTGCAGTTACTATTAATTGAAAAATAACAAAAATCACGTCTTGATTAGTTTGCATTATCCACTACTTCCTGGCAATGTCAGTCACTGTGGAGGATTTTGGAAGAACCCTCTGAATTTCAAATTCATTCTAGACCTCATATACTGGACCTACTAGAAATATGTTCATATAATTGTTTATCCTAATAAAGAGGCAACAGTCCAGAGGCAAGTAGACTATATACTCATCACTGGGAGAACCATTCAGATTGTTGGTCTCTCTATGGAATCTATTTATTAACAAATTAATAGAACTCATTGTGATTCCATGGAATACACTGACCATGGAAAAGTGAAGCATGTAAGTGTAAGGATATAGATTTTTTTTATCTGATTCTGTAAACTAGTGTTTACCAGGGAGTCTGGTTAAATTTTCTGCTATCAGTGCATGAACTTCTGCATCAGGGTTGCTTGGTGTAACTGTCAGTGTGATGCATAAATTGACATGCACTCACTCTGCAGGAAATTAAGTTTTTTTCTGTTGAGATGATTTGTTCCATTTCCCATTAGAGAAAGGTAAAGGTGATGAGATGCAATTTATATTTGATATTAAAGCAGGTAATCTTCACAAAGGCTTAGAAATTCTCAGAATTCATGACTATTTCTCTTATCAGGTTTGCCAGTCTGTGTGATTTATAAAGAGCATAATTCTACAAATAGGTTATTTCTTTTAAGCCCTGTTTTGTCATACTGTTTATCAGCAAAACTCTTGCTGATAATCAGTGGCCCAGATCACCATCTGCAACCTCTATAGGCCTGGTGTTCTTGTTGATCAACTTTCTACACACTCTAAGTAGCTCAAAAGAGGTTGTGGGAAGGGTTCTCTCCATAATAGTGAATTTTGTATTATTCCATAGAGTTACATTATAACCATTCATTTGCAAGTCCAGATATTCTTGCTTTTCTCAGTCGTATCTTTCAGAAATGTACATTTTCCAGACAACACTGAGATACAGATGGCTCTTGTAAATTTAGAAGTTAAAATCAAAGTACTGGTAAATGGTCTTTTTCTCCTTGTTCATCTTTTCTGTTGTGGAATTAGAAGAAAGTTATGAAGTACTTTTGTACCACTGTAACTGGAAGAGAGAGCTTTCGTGGACATGCAGCCTCTGTCTATGCTGAGAATAACTCCATTCCCCAAATAGCTAATTCAGGACTTGAACTGAAGATGCAGTTCTTCTAAGCATGTGACCTAAATCTAATCACATGGCTACATTTGTTTCAGTGTCCTCAACTGTAAGGTTTCATCTTGAAAGTTTATCTATTACTTCTTCTATTTTCAGATTATGGACGGTCAATGTACCTGCAGAATCAGAAGATATCATAATAAATATACATGGGAAGGCAATAGCATTTCAGGAATGCTTTGTTCTAGATACTCCCTTTATAATTCCAAGGCCTAAACATTCATTTCCCAGCAAAGAAAATGATGCCTCACTCGGTTCCCCCAGAAATAGTGACATGTCTATTACATGGTCGGCATGTTTTCCGACAACAGCCGTTTTATTAACAGACTTTGGAACTTTCTATACGAGTGATGGATTCAGAACTTATGAAGAAATCAAAGTTCCTTCAGATGTTTTGACCCAAGGCCTAAACAACAGTGTAACTGATGTGGCTCTAACAGATAATGGAATCTTATTTTTAATAAATGGAACTATTTATAAAAGAGAATCTAATCATTTTTTTAAACTTGGGGCAGAACATAAGCTTCCTGAAGCAAAAATAACCGGAATATGTTCAAGATACTGGTGTCCATTATTCTATCCAGTGCAGGTAAGTTATCTTCAGTTCTCTTTTAACATTTAAAATATAGCTGCTCTTCACTAAATATATTGATGAATCTATTTTAGATCTACTTTTCATTGATGTGTTGCTGGGTTTGTAATTAGAAATGACCAGACAGCAATAAGTTCACTTTCAGGACATTTCAAAATAGGATCTGGATACCGTGAGTGATTCCGCGTGAGCTTATTTAGCCATATGCAACCATTTCTGGGATCATGACTTAAATTTGTAAATTCATTCTGATGGACTCTGCTGATGACACTAGCTGAAGATATATCCCACAACATTTTGATTTCCTAATGTACATCTGTGATGTAAATTTTAAAGGAAGATGGCATTTACCTAATCACTGTGGTTTTATTTTGTTTTAACAGAATAGAAGTCAACTAAGTACTTTGGCAGCATGGACATCTAATGAGCTGTATCTTGCATATGATGAAACATTTCATAAAATGACAGATACAACAAACTTAGCAAAGACTTTATATTTTCCAAAAGACGCTGTTTTATCTATAGAGATAGTTAGCTATGACTCAATCCCATCTGAAATCACACTGTTGCTGATCTGCAAAGGTTGCACTTCCTCCAGACTCTTTCATCTGGCATTTTATAGTGAAGACAGACAATTATGGGGCTTAAGAGAGTTTTATTTACCTGTTTCTGAGAATTCTGTTACAAGAATGATGTATTTAAACTCAGCATTATCATGTGGTTTGCTGTGGAACAATGAAAGCATTTACTACACCTACAGAAACAACACAACTAATGGATATCTTGAAATATTTGGATCGAATCTATCTCTTTCAGAAATGACTAATGGGAGCACTATTCACCAGATTATTCCTGGTTAAGTATATTTTGTTTTAAGTACCTATTAATTAATTTTAATTAATTCAATGCTGAAGTAAATTACAAATTTTAAGAAGGGATTTCTGAGTCTGTCTTTTTGTAAATGATAGTAATAGAATAATAGTTATTAATTTCATTGGCCTATTAAGATTTAAAAATATTACTTTTAGATGAGACTCACATATCAAGCCAATTTTTGTTCTTCAGGAAATGTCACCTGAATTCAATATGATTCTACCAAGAAAACTCAACAACTTTTGCCCTTAGTCTTTGTTACAGTAGGATAGCTCTATCTCTGACTGCTTAGGAGGATGATTATTTTTGTCCTGTTCTGTTTGATTCAAAATCTAATGGTATGAAACCTATGCTTCTCTACATCAAAGAGATTATTTTGCAGCATTCTGACTTCTTAAGGCACTTCTTTCACATTATGATCACAGCATCACATTGATGCTGTTATTAAGGCATAGTCCTGTCATTTGTTATTCCAGCTCATCGAGTCTCTTTCCATGGTAGTGGTTCATCTTTAGTAGGCAACTGAAGAAGAATTCAACTACGCAGTTGCCATTCACTGTCATGCAGACAATGGTACTTGATTAGTTGAGTCACAAGGTGAGTGTACAAAATCTGATCTGAATCCATCTCTACAAAATTTAGAGTTCAGGGGATCAATACTGGACATTACCACCACCACTTCCTACAAAATTCTTCCTGAAACTTGGAAGATCTAATCCTAATGCTGTGAGTTACTGTTCCAATCAAAACCCTTCTGAGAATGCCATATCATTCAGGAAAGCGCTTTCAGGAAAAAAAAAAAAAAAAAAAAAAAAGCTACCCTCAAAAAACTTGGTAAATACTTACTGGCTTGCAAGATGAAGCCAGCCAACTCATGGCTCATACTCAAAATCCTGCTTCCTTATGAATCTAATGTGATATAGAAGATAGATCCTAACCATGTCATGCAGTGATGGTTTGAGAGCTGAGCTCCTCAATGCAAATATGGCAACAGCTGAAAAAACACTTAAAAAGAACAGGAAGAAGCTAGGCAAATTCTGGCAAAATTACCAGCCAACTGCAGCACAGTGCAGGTGACAGGCTAACAGCACTGGCAAGAAGACTTCTGAAGAGGATGTGCTAAATATTTCTGCTGAGATAATCTCATGTTGTCTAAAGAGGACCCAAGTCTGCTGACAGTGCCCTGAGAGGAGGCCATATACTGAAACAATTCTTAGTGATCATTTTAAAAGAATGTGCCCAGATCTACAAGCATAAGTCAGGCTTACGGAGGCTCACAAAAGATGACACGTGAGTACCGTTTCCCTACTGGCTCAGGAAGGAGGAGCATGAGAGGGAACCCTATTAATGAAGCTTCTCACATTCTTTGTTGAAGAAGAGTTCCTGTCTTGTGGCCGCTGGAACTTGCCTCTGACTAGAGCAGTCTTCAGTACTAGAGCCAGAGAAGGTTAACTCAACTTGCTGCTCTGAGGTGCACTCAGACTCCAGTTAAGATCTTTCTGTCAAAGAGCCTCTTCTCCAGTATGATCTACATTTGCTGCACTTACCTTCACTTACACTTTCTACACTTAACACCATTAAGTTGGTAAACCGTTGAGTTGGTTGGTTTGGTAAACCATCTGGTTGAGTTTATGATGGTTTGGCTTGCTTATTCATCTCAATATGAAGGTGCCGTTTTTCTAGGTGGTCACCTTAGCCAAAAGGAAAAGGAAAAAATACCTAGGCGTTAATTGTTATTCCTCGTCCATGCGGAGTGCCCTTTGGAATTCATTCCAATTTCTAACATCAGACCTGAATTTCATTTGAGTTAGGAAATTATGCAGTCTGTACTCTTTTCCAACCTCTGTTGTTTCAGGACTAAATCAGACAGCAGGCATATCTTCACCTAAATAGGAGCAAATTATTTAGACAAGCTTCTTTTTCACTCTTAATGTTGTCAGAGGAGTCAAAAAACACATCAGCCTCCTTACAAAGTCTATTTATCTGAATCAAGCCCTTTTACAGGGCTGTTTAAGTGAAAGTGCCTTCAAAGATTAAGGTACGCTAATCAGAACTGAAGAACGTCTCTCCTAAACAAGGGCAAACAGCCCCCCTGGAGCTCCGTTTACAATGCAATTGTAGAAGCATCAGTGAATGACACCATGTTTCTTAGTGTATTCCTGGGATAGTTCTTTTTCTTAACATATGCTAACTCCATATCATCTCTAGGTACAAAGGGGATACTTCTTGTAGTCACCATTAGTATGGTTGTTTTGTTATTACTATCACTCGAAGAAAAGTCATGGGGATACTTACCACTAAGCAACTTCTTTGAGATATGTATGCCTGTTGCCTATTCATCTCCTGCTTCTTGATGAGGACTTCACTGAATTGTTTTGATCTAGAATTATGGGCTCACAGGGCCTACTGGACATATGGTGTGGTTTCTCCTTTACGTCCTTACAAGCAAGAGATGAGATATTCGT